CCCAGGGGTTATGTGAATATGCTCTCTATGTCCAAGGTAAGACATATTGTAGATCTGTCTTTCCTTCTGACTAGAGGAATGCACACATTGCCTTTCTTCTGGAAAAAGATCAGAAAACTTATGAAATGGTTAAATCCAAGTAAGTGTGATATGAAGGTCTTTTTCAGTATTATTTTTGAAATCAACATAATTCCTGTGCTAGATTTGACCTCAGAAATGACTAATTTGTTTAAATAAAATTGTTACCATACTTCACCCATTTTCTAGTTTCTGGTTGATGTTTTTCAGAATGGATATTAAGGTCCCTTTGTCATGCAGCAGTTTCAGGCCCAGAAGAGGCTTTTGAAAGGGTTCCTTGTAGTCAGGCTAAAAGCTATGAGGAAAGGCGTGAGGATTTTTAGTAAGTAAGTCAGGATGAAAGAAGCCTAGAGATATACAGGATAAAGCAGAGACACCTTATTTTAAAAGGTTTTTGCTTGGCTGCACCTCTGCTCTGGGCAGGTATCCTATAGCTGCCAGGGTAATTTCTCCTGGAGATGCAAATTCCTGATTCCCACTTCCCGCATCCACTTCCCACTGAGGTCTTCCAGCCGACAGGAGCAACATCTGAAGCTGATGGGCAGCAGTGATGGTGGCTAGCAGCTGGGGAGGGCCACCTCTGCTCCTTTGCTGCCACTCCCACTGCCTCCTAGCTGTTCAAAACCAGGCAGTTTAAAAAGGTGTAGCTGGAGCCTGCGGGAAGTGGAAGTGAAGATCTAAGTATCTTCTATTCAGATAGAACTGCATGTTACCTAAAGGAAGGAAACTGAAGTGACTATTTAAGATTGTAACAGGGCTCTGGAACATCATTTTCAATCAAACCTCTTCTGAAAAGGTGCAATGCCTATGAAACTTGAGAGCAGTATCAGAATGCTTACATGGATTATAAAACAGTATTTTGCAAATAGACTACAGAATCCAGAAAGCAAATGACAGTATTAACAGGAGAACAAGAATTTTAATGGGTCTGGATAGACTGAGCTGGTAGGAAAGCTGTTACCCATTCCTTCCATGCTCACTTCCGTGCGACTGTAAGCTTGGCAGCCTGTGGCGAAGATGCCCCCAGACCAGGTGGGAGATTCCTGGAGCCATCATCGTCAGCTGGGCATCACAAATGAAAAAACATTTAAAATGTTTACTTAAACAGGGAAATCAATGTGTAAAGGACCAAAATTATAAAGATGTCCTTGGTAAATAACATAAATGCTTAAAGAGTCACAATAAGGAATATGCCATGTATACAAACAGAGCTCTCTGTTACTTGAAGCTGTGCCACTTTGAAGAGGCAAAGCAGGATTGTGACCAGGTGCTTCAGATAATAGGAATGTGAAAGCCTGCTATAGACATGCTCTTGCTCATAAAGGTCAAGAATCATCAGAAAAGTTTAAACGATCTCAATAAAGTTCTACTAGACTCAAGCATTGTTGAGTCAAAGGTAGAAATGGTAACCAGATTCCTTATTAAAGACAATAGGCATCATTCAACAAGGAAAAGGAGAGAAGAAAAATTGAGATTCAAGTAGCGAATGAAGGTCATGAAGAGCCTGATAGGACCTCTAAGGAGATCCCTACTGTCTTGCCTCTGAGCAGGAGGTGACACAAGCAGTGGGCCACTAGAGTACTATGGAAAACTATTTCTGCCAAGCCTGACAGTGCCTGTGAAGTCAGTCAGCTTATAAACACTGTCACTACTGGGAAGGATAAGCCACCGCACATCTTCCAGCCATCACTGAAAGATGTGCTAATGTTATTGAGTGACAGACTTGAGGAAGATATATTCCTCCTTCCCCTTCAGTCTCTGAAAGATAATCTTATTGCCAAATATTTAAATGTTTTCTCCCTTCTCTTTTAAACATGGCCATATTTATTCCCTTAATGAAAACAAAAAGTGAAGAACTCATCATATTGAAAGCTCCTTGGTTAACTGAGTCAAAGTAAGGGTATTTCTTACAATAAAACATACAGGTCTCCAAAAGAGATAGAAAGGTTTTAAAATGTCGGTAACTTTGCTACATGTTTCAACCCACATGAAGTCATATGTGGTTGTATTAAAGATACAACTATCCAAAGAATTTGTTATGATTCCCCACCTCCACTTCTTTAATTTTCTGATACCAGGTTCCATTCTTCCCAGAACATGATTTTCTTTTCTTTGATTTGTTTCTTGGCAGCATTGATATTTCGCCTGGAAGGAAATATCCAAGACTCGCTAGAACTCTTTCAGACATGTGCTGTTCTCAGCCCTCAGTGCGCTGATAACCTCAAGCAGGTGGCCAGATCTCTGTGAGTAAGGGCAGCCTATGGACCCCGGGGCGCTCACAGTGTGCTGAGCATTCTCAGGCAGAGGCTGCTTCTGGCTGCCTGATCTGCCTGACACCTAGAGGAAGGGATCTCTAAAGATACACTTGAAGAGTGTAGGTTTAACTTTAAAATTTGACAAAATAACTCATATAAAGAAACAGTGTTGCAAACACCATATTGTTCTAGTTTGACAGGAACACTGATATTGGTCATCATACAAATAGTGACACTTTGTGCCCTCAGGCCCCTAATTTTATTGCCACCCTTGGTAATTTTCTCACCAACACTAGTGTAATGCTCTGTTGAACCTCAGTAGGTTTTTAGTGTTTGTTAGTGGCTGCCCTGATGTTTTCTGAATGCAAGCGACTTCCAAAGTCTTTCTAAGCTGTTAGGTACACTAATGGCTTTACTACACCAGTAAAGTGCTCCAGTAGCAGTCAAGTGTTCTGTGCGGTTCCCGTCATTGCTTTCTTACCTACATTGTGGTTTATACCTGCTCTACCTTCGCGTAGAGCCCATTTTCCTGTTTCTCCGGAACCATTATCCAACATCGGGGACACACTTAGGCTTGGGAGGGCAGCCGCGTCCCTCAGAGACGATGGTGGTAAATGATGGCAACTCTTGCTTAACGTGCTGTATTATTTAGCTTGTTCCTTTTTGGGTCTACATTTGTAGTGCACTGTGGAAAGTAAATTATAGAAGACCCACTAACATTGGTACAGGAAGGGACCAAGGCCCTGGGACCGCTACCAGTGTAGTCCCTAGCGGGAAAGTTCTGCTCTTGCTACACAGCAGCCTCGCTGGCCAAGCTAGCACAGAGTTCACAGGGAGAAGCTTCCAGACTCTGTGCTGGGTGGACTATGAGTCAAATGTGGGGCTAGAGGGGTTAGGGTTAGAAAAGCTTTGAGTTAATAATAATGGAAAATGTAGCCCCGACCAAGTGGTTCAGTTGGTCAGTGTCATCCTCCACCGTGTATAGTGTACACCGAGAGTTCGCGGGTTCGATTCCTGGTCAGGAATACCCAAGTTGTGTAGGAGACAGCCGGTCAGTGTTTGTTTCTCACATCAACGTTTTTCTTTCTAAAATGAAAACATATCCTCAGGTGAGGATTTAAGAAAATTATTATGGAAAATGTATTTCTTCCACAGATTTCTTTTGGGAAAACATAAAGCTGCCACTGAAGTATATAACGAAGCAGCTAAACTTAACCAGAAAGATTGGGTAAGTAGGAAACGGAGTTCTTTGTTATGGGTAACATGCTGATGGTTCCGTTTTTCATGTGGCTGTCTTTTGTTGTTATTACTGAATTCTTACGTGCCCCCAAATGCCTTTCTGCTGATACCAGGTTGGTGATTGAGCTAGGTGTACGGTCAGAGGTCACGTGTCTGTCTAACTTGGTAGACGTTGCTGCGTGGTTTTCTGGCAGCGAGTGGTGCTGCTGAGCAGTTGGCTGTTAGTCCGATTCCTGTTGATAACCCCGCTTTCCTTCTAGGGGCATTCTCCTTTCTCTAAGCTATTTTAAATTAAGGGAGGCTTCCTTTTAAGATTTTTAATGTTTTATTTAAATTTTCAGAGAGAGGGAAAAAGAGGGGGAAAGAGAGAGAGTGAAACATTGATCGGTTGCCTCTCGTACATGCCCCATTTGGGGACAAACCTGCAACCCATGCCCATCCTCTGACCAGGAATCAAACCGGTGACCTCTCACTTTATGGAATGATGCCCAACCAACTGAGCCACACTGGTCAGGGTTGAATGTAGGGAGGTTTAATAAGGGTAGTTCAGGAGATCCTGTAGAAGTCAAGGTCAGGAAATATAACTTGATCTTGGAGTGAACTAGAAAGGAAAGCTGTCAGCATCCAGGGTAGCTACTCTGCATTTGTTTCATTTTTCTTTTTATAAATCAGCAGTTGGCAAACATTTTTTGTAAAGGGCCAGCTAATCAATATTTTAAGCTTTGTGGCTTCATATGGTCTCTGTTGCAACTACTAAACTCTGAGGTTCTAGTGTGAAAGAGTCATAGACAATACCAATAAAACTTTATTTACAAAAAAAGGCAGAGACAGATTTGGTCCGTGATTGTCAGTTTGCTTACCTTGCTGTGTACATCTGCAGACTTACTCCAAATATGGATGTTCCGTCACAGTGCCCTGCAGATGGTGCTGTCGGTCCCCAAGTCCATATTGTCTAGTGAATTCTTAGCTTCCTAGGAAAGGGAATCTAACAGACACATAAATGTGTACATGTCTCTGCGGTGAGGCAGGGGCTGTGGGTGGCCTCTTCTGAGATGAGAGCGCGAAGGGTATGGGCAGTGGGCATCTCTGAGAGGAAGTTTGGGGATGGGCTGGGGATGTACCCCACTATACCACACAGATCCGAAACCTTCTGCTTGTCCTGCTTTTCTCTTTTAATCTGTGGGTTTTTTTAATATTGAGGAACCCATGTTTCAGTATTAAATATATTTTGAAATATCGTCAAAAACTAACTGTAGTGCGTAATGTACAGTTTAAACTTTGACGAACAGTAATGATCTCTCGGTGTTTGTTTTTTCACTCTAATATGTACTGTGGAACCTCAGCCATTTTCTTTTCTTTTGCATGTAGGAGATCTGTCATAACCTAGGAGTTTGCTACATTTACCTGAAACAGTTCAACAAGGTAATTTATAGAAGTGTTGGGGGCAGTCCAGCAGATGCCTCAGTGAAATCTCACCAAGGGTACATTTGTTACAAAGGTGCCATTGCTACTGTATATTGTTCCTAGTGCTTGCAGAGACTTTGGGAAGTAAAAATTGAAAGTGCCACATGCATTTATCCCCATTTTCTTATTTGTCATTATCCACCTTTAAAAAAAAAGAAAATTTTATTTCTTAATTTTTAAAGAAATGGGAAGGGAGGGAGAAAGAGAGGGAGAGAAACATCAGTGTGTGAGGGATGCATCAACCAGTTGTCTCTCACACACCTTCAACCAGGGACCCAGCCCACAACCCAGGCAGGTGCCCTGACTGCGAATCAAAGCAGTGACCCCTTGGTTTGCAGGCCAACACAGTCCACTGAGCCACACCAGCCAGGGCTTTTATCCACCCCTTTTCCTCCTTGCTTTTAACAAGAAAATGAGACATTCTAGAGATAAGAGGGAATGGTATTCTAATTACTTTGTCCTCTCTTTTTCTGTAAACCCAGTTTAATTTTCCAGTATAGAAACAAATGTTTAATAAAACTTAGATATCAAAAAGTGTAATAAGAGACCATGTGAGCTCTCTTATGCTCTACAGCAACTGGTTTTAGTTTTTAAGTTCATTAGACATGAATTTTAAGTTATAAGTGGATATGATTTTTAAAGAGTTTCAGTTTTTAAGGTTATGTTCCATGTGAGAATTTATATTTCATTGTGATTAAGCTGTAGGCTCTAGGCTTTATATAAGATAAAACATTTGAGCTTACCTTTGTACTCAGATATGAGAAAAAATATGTATGTACCTTAAATGAGGGGGAGACTAAATTACTGAGAGCTCTGAAAGTTAATGGTACTGGGGTTGGCCAGAATTTCCTTCATGAAGCTTCTGCTGTGGTTCTGGAGTGATTCATAAGTTTTATTCTCTTCTCTCCAGTGCCAATAGGACTGAGAATCTGAGTTGGTTAATATCCATCTGACAGTATTTAATCTGTCCCTCAGGAGTTAAAAAGAAAAAATCTGTACACAAGCAGTTGATGTAAGAGTGACTTTTACTCTTCTGAAATATATAATAAATAACTAATATATATTTAAATATATATATTTAGTGTGTCTCTTAGGTTTTTGGGCAGATCTTACAGTGTTATATACTTGGTTAGGAGACTGTTCTCTTCAGAGGATATTCTAAGCAAGTACATTTCTGTTAACACAATGATTCTGAGCTAAGGAAGAAGCAGAGTTGGTCTTTGGTCAGACCTATAAAGAGAATAAGATTATATTTAGATTTTACTATAAAGCTAACGGAGCAAACACAATACTCGCATTTATGCAAATACTCACTGGATTAGTGAGCGACTGAAAAAAAGCCCTTTGGACTGTCTACTAGTAGGAATAATCTCTTTGAGAGCATGGAGTTTGTAAGCTCTAGTATAGCGTGCACCTTGAATAGGCACTCAGTGAATACATGTTGAGTTAGTAAAGGAGAACAAACCGTTCATTTATCACAATATTAGGGAGGAAAATGAGGTCCACTCTGGGAAAGGTTGGTCACTGGTACAGCTGGGCAGCACTGTATACTGTATTATGATGTCCCTTTTGACCTGCAAACTATGAGTCACGGGTATGATTATCAAGAAGCAAGAAGCGGGAAACACTCAGAAAGGTTAATCATTTTGCATAAACTTTTCCAAGTGGCTCCAGAAGCAGATACTCCATGTTTGCAGCTGTCCTGTGAGCACGTACAGTTTTGGTATGTGGTGGTGTCTGGGGGCAGTGAGGGCTGGGTTTTGAAAGGTGAGATTCCTGCGTTAGTACAAGCAGCTCTGTTCTCAACTTAGCCACTCCCTTTTCATGGCAGTGATTTGGTTCTCTTTATCTCATCAACCTTGTTAGGCACGAGAGCAGTTGCACCATGCCCTACATCTAAACAGGCATGATCTGACTTACATAATGTTGGGGAAGATTCACTTGCTGGAGGGAAACTTGGACAAAGCCATTGAAATCTACAAGAAAGCTGTGGAGTAAGTGTGTCTGATTCCTGTCGAGCAAGGAACAACTTTAAAAAAAAATGGGAGCTGGTATATGAACTCCCAAGCCTAAGACAGAATATGTAACTGATAACTAGTTGTATGAATTACAGTAAATGTTAAGCTAAGGTTAAGAGTGCCCAATGGCTTAAATAACGAACACTTGTGTTTCTTTCTCACTTACTAATATGGCTGGTTTGGCCTAGCTGGGCAGCTCTATTCTGCAAGGTCAGTCAGGGACCCAGGCCCCCTCCTTACTGACCTACCATTCCTTAGGTTGTCTTCCCCTGCATGGTTGAACCTGACTTGCTGTGGCATCCGTGTTCAGGTTGTGGAGGGGGGGAGGTGGTATAGAAAACCAAGTACTGAATAAACAGGTAATAGTGTTTCAAATGGCCCAGAAGTTGCACACAGGGTTCCCGCTGTCATTCCTTGGTTCAAAATTAGTGAGGTGGCCACAACCAGCTACAAGGGCAGTGGGCACATGTGCTTGAGAGGAGGATGGATTATTAGCATGAGACCAGTATCTTTTTTTTTTTTTAAAACAGCATTAGAGGAGGCCAAACCCCTATTAATGATGGAACTGACTTTCCCAGGATGGCGTTCCATCTTCCCTCTAGATACACATGTTATCTTGCCTTTTCTGTGTAGGGTCTTAAGTGGGATAGTTGTAGCAAAGTGCTTTAGCGTCTCGTTTGTTCGGTCACTGAACAGAATGCCTGGTCAGAGTCTGCTATTTCTGGTATTAGGCTATGAACTCAGACTTCCTTTGTTAAATTAATTTGTTGATTACTTTTGCCTTCTACCACAGTTGTAATGTTGTAACTTCTGGTTATATCAACCACAGTACAGCTTTCTGAATTTTATTCATATTTTGTGTCTAAAAGGATCTAAAAATCCTTTGGTTTGTTAACTTACAAGAGAGATTTTTGTCATCAAGAGGATAAGTTTATGTGGGTAAGTAGGAAGGAGTGCTGACCTGTGACCCCTGACTTCTAAATGATTAGCTCACATAAATATGAAGGTGATATTCATGCAGAGGCTAGTAGAGGACTTAAGTCACAAAAATTTTCAAGGCAGAAAAGGGGGCAGCTGAGCATTTGGAGTCTCACTGAGAATTTGGAGACCCACAGCTTGGAGATGGCAGTTACGCTTTGGTGGGGGGATGGATGCCACTAGAATCATGGAAGTTAATTAGTTTGGGGAAGGAGGTGATCAAAATGGATATTTACTATAGCACAGAGTGAAGGGCAAATAGCTGAACTGAGTAAGCTCTGTTTAGCCAACTCAGGCGTCCCTGGCAGGGGCTTTGGCCCATCTGATCTGTTCTTCCCATACGTAACCAGAGCCCTATGTCATTCCTTAGAAGCATGAGACATTGTTCATTGCTTTTGGCATTTTTACTGTTGAAACTGTCTGATGATCCTATAGCCAGATCAACTCAGCTCAGTGTTGCTTTGGTTTTATAACGAAGATAAATATCAGTAAGGGATAAATATCAATGTTGACTCCCCAAATCCAGTAGCTAATTCTTCCCTAGAACTGGTATGTCTTCTTTCTTTTGTTCAATATGGCTATTTAGTATGGCCTTTTATTTAATGTGGAGGGCAGAGTATTAGGACCTTTGGGATCCTAAATTACAAGGAAAATTATACAGACTACCACTGCAAGTAGAGTGAGAACAGAAAAAAAATCCCACCTGAAGAGAACTGGCTAAAACCCTGTGTGTTCTAGACGTACTCAGTTTATAAAGCATTGTTCTTTAATTCTATCAGTGTATTGAAGACAGTCACACAAAATATTCCATAGGTTCTTTCTTAGGTCTTTGACCCAAAGAAAAGGTCCTGAAAGGGCGTCTGGATTCTAGGCCCCGTTTCTTTCTCATTCCGCAGTCCTTCCCGTAGCCAGGGCGGGGGCGACCTACGATTGAGGGCAGTTCCCAGGCACCTGGGGGGCTTTCTGCGGGGTGTGGGGCACGCGGTGGAGTCTCAGGTGTCACCCACACGGGCGTGTGACTGTGCGTGTGCCTCAGGGTCTCATCCGTATGTCTCCCTCCGAGTGTCTCTGATTGACCTTCGTGTTGCAGATTCTCACCGGAAAATACAGAACTTCTTACAACTCTAGGATTACTCTACTTACAGGTAAGGAGGACTCTTTACTCTTTCATGCACTGGTGGTGGAAATGCTTTTGGATTTATGTGTATTGTGGTTCCCTTGCAATTTTGATTAACCCATTTCACTAAAGCTCATACGAAGCACATGAACCTTATATGTTAAAGGAATTAACTTAGTTTTCTGCATTCAAATCAAAACTGCAATTACAACTTTTAAAGGGAAGAGCATATGTGAGAAATAACTGTCTGGTCATGGGAACTGTCATTTTGTTGCGGGGGACTATCATTTTGTGATACAAGTTAGTGCTGCCAGGGCTTCGGGCTGAGGCCATTTCTGTTGTTCCTTCTTCCCAGCCAGGTCCTATGGGAGAGAGAAAGCAAAACATGGTCTAGAGTAAGAAATCAGTCTCCTCTCCTCTCCACTTTCCTGAGTGTGAATGAAGTCATTTTAGCTCCATCAGTTCCCCTCCTCAGCCTGAGAACTGGGCCTGGGTGTCCCGGAGGGGCTTCTACCCGCCCCATTTCCCCATTTACTCCCCTAGTTCCCTGTCCAGCTGATCTTGCCTCCAGCTCTGCCCCTTTGGTAGCCTTTCTGTCTGTTCATCTTTAAAAGGAGTTGGAGTTTAACCCTGGGCCTTCTGCTTTGTCTCAGGAGGCTGGCCTCAGGGGAGACGAGGCCAAGCAGCCTATTTCCTGCCTAGAGACGTTAGTGTGCAGCGGCTCCAGGTGGCGGGGGTGGTTCCTGGCAAGCAGATACTTGGATATTATCAGGGGACAGACAAATGTGGGCTTTTTAGTTTTCTTTTTCTGTCTGGTATTTGTAGCCCTCTTTTCATCAAGAGAACTCAGGAAAGTCAGGATGTTTCAGGGTGTGTTTGGCCAGACTCCTTAACTCTCGTCTCCCCGCTGACACAATTCTCTGCCTTTTCTTCAAGCTTGGCCTCTACCAGAAGGCATTTGAACACCTTGGAAACGCACTGACGTATGACCCCACCAACTACAAGGTACCGCGGCTGCCGCGCCCCGGAGCCCTCACACACGATGGTCCCTCTGCTCCTAGAGATCGGGCCCAGGAAAGCATTTTGAATACCTGAGAAATGACCTTGTTCTTAGAATAATTATAAACAAGGCTCTTCTTATTTGAAAATATTGTAAAGTGTTGGTGCTGTGTTTCTTATTTTTCAAAAGAGCACATTTGTCTGCCCTGGCTGGTGTAGCTCAGTGGATTGAGCGCGGGCCTGTGAACCAGAGGATCAAGGTTCGATTCCCAGTCAGGACACATGCCTGGGTTGCAGGCCAGTTCCCTGCAGGCCAGTTCCCAGCAGGGGATGCATGAAAGGCAACCGTACATTGATGTTTCTTTCCCTCTCTCCTTCCCCTCTAAAGATAAATAAATAAATAAAATCTTTAAACGTTCAAAAAAAAAAAGGTACCTTAGTAGGTTGGAGTGTCATCCCAAATACTCCAAGTTTGGGGGTTCGATCCCCTAAATAAGTGGCACAACAGATCGATGTTTCTCTCAAATCAGTAACTACATTTGTGCCCTGGGTAGCATGGCTCAGTGGATTGAGCACCAGCTTGCAAACCAAAGGGTTGCCAGTTTGATTCCTAGACAGGGTGCATGCCTGGGTTGTGGGCCAGGTCCTCAGTGGGGGGTGTGCAAGGGGCAACCAATCTATATTTCTCTCCTCTTTTCCCGATAGATAGATAGATAGATAGATAGATAGATAGATAGATAGATAGATAAAATCATTTTTTTAAAAAAGAGCATATTTGTTAGGCCTGTGTCTTATACAGAAAGTGACATTGTAGTGCCGGTAAAGTTTTATGTACTGTATTTACAAAATTAACACAGCTTTCACAACTGCTGTTAAAAATAACTTCTGGTGACATGACTTCCCGAATCTTAATGAATTTCCTGTGAGAACAGTTGTCCAGATGTGCCTTTAGGGATGAGAAGATCATCAGCTGGACGAGTACCACTGTGGGAGATGCAGCAGGCAGGCTGTGAAGGACACAGACACAGTCCCGTCTCAGACTCTCGTCAGCCTGACTGTCGTCAGCTCCCCACCTGACACCCAGACTGAGTCACCCTTCGTCCTGTGGCAGAAGGAGCTGTACCTTAGGTTGCACAGACAGGAGTATCTGAGTTGTCTGGAGCAGCACCTGGTGTATAGGGGCTGCAGGGAACAGATTGAGGCAGTATGTACTTAAAGGGCTCCGAGGCTCGGAAATACTGACTTGTCTGGTGAGAAGTAGGATACAAACTAGCTGGGTAATGTTAGTGACATTTTATCTTTTCTTTTTCTGCACTGTGCCAAAAAGAGCCACAGTGTGGGGTGCAGGGACATTTCTTACGATCATTTATCTCAATTGCTTGAATACATCAAACCATATTTTGCCATATATAATACACACCCATGTTTTTGTGCAAATTATACACGGGGTTATTATACCCATGGTATGTAATCATTATATCCACGTATAATGTGCATCCTTGTTTTTCCCTTAAAAATTTGGGCAAAAAAGTGCACATTATACACAGCAAAATACGGCATTATGTCCCTGGAACTTTTCAGGTCACGCTCTGCAACACGCAGGAAGGCTCCCTCACTGCTACAGCCTTTTGGGAGTGACTGAATTATCAGCTGTCCGCGTCCTGTGTTTTCAGGCCATCTTGGCAGCAGGCAGCATGATGCAGACCCATGGAGATTTTGATGTTGCCCTCACCAAATACAGAGTTGTAGCTTGTGCTGTTCCAGAAAGCCCTCCACTCTGGAATAACATTGGAATGTGTTTCTTTGGCAAGAAGAAATACGTAGCAGTGAGTGTCTTCTTGCCTTCCTTTTTTGTGTCTGCGCATGCCATTGCTGGGTCTGCCCAGCTTGCCCCACCCTCACTGAATGCCTCTCTCTCCTGCAGGCTATCAGCTGCCTGAAACGAGCCAACTACTTGGCACCCTTTGATTGGAAGATTCTCTATAATCTGGGCCTCGTCCACTTGACCATGCAGCAGTATGCATCAGCTTTCCATTTTCTCAGTGCAGCCATCAACTTCCAGCCAAAGATGGGGGAGCTCTACATGCTCTTGGCTGGTAAGAGACAAGTGGAGAACCCTCTCCACAATCTGTAATTAGGGGAGAATGAATTAGAATCATTGGAGGCCAGTGGCTAAGTGTCCCGTAGAAACCATTCCCATTTGGATTCCATAGTGAAGCCAGAAAAGCTGGGGTTTGGGCAGCCTGTCACTACCAGACCCAATAAGCAGAGACAGGGATTGAGTCTTCATGGGCGTTTTATTCAGATGGTTGGTGATCTGAGAACACGGTGGGTTTGTGCCCTAACAGACTATCTTATTTTCCTTTTCAAGCCAGCCTTTGTAAGGGGAAAAAAGTATAGGTAAGGCATTTGGGACTCAGGAAAGAGGTTAATCAGATGGTTAAAAGCTGCAGTCTGGCAATGTCCCTAACATCCTTTCATCTGCTGATTGGTGATTTATTTATTTTTATTTTTATTTATTGTTGTTCAAGTGTAGTTGTCTCCATTTTCTCCCCATGATTTTCTTTATCTGTGTCCTGGGCACTTTTCTTTATCTGTGTCCTGGGGGGCAGACTGTCTCTCCCTGGAACACAGTAGCTCGGACACCACCCTGGCTGCTTATAGTCTCTCCTGGAGCACAAAGGCCAATCGCTTGTGGTCTCCTGGAGTCAGGGTGGGCCATACTTGCAGTTCCTGAAACAGTAGCTTTTCACATGCGTTAACTACTAGGCTCACTATTACCTAAAACTAAAATTTTCCAACTCTTGAATCCCCCATCAATAGGAGTCTGGATTACAGTGCCAGAGCTTGGAAAACAATGAAGAGAATGATGACAAAGTGCTAGGTTGCGTCTAACTTGGGGGAAATTCACTCAGAGACCAACAGGTTGAATCCAGATCACCCTTAGTTTATCTTTTACCAAATGTTTTCCCTCGGCTTGACAATTCATTTATATATAAGTTCCAGATTTCATGAAATGTAGAGAGATATATCTTACAGGGTTGATGAGGGGATTACATGATTAAATAGCAAGTGAATATTAACTATTGGTTTTATTGTTAGCTACTATAATACAAAAGTATTGACTGAATATTCTTTCTAGGGGATAGTTTTCCACATACTGAACTTAGTGTAAGCCCCAAAGCAATTTGCATGTTTTCATTGACACTGGTCTCCAGGTCCTTTGGGGGGCATTATTGCAAAGTTCTTATTTATAAGAGAAAGGTTGCAAAAGCAAATCGAGTATTTATTTGGGGGTTGTCTGGACACAAAACTAGCCTAGTCGTAATAAGGATAAGAATGTAAACAAATTGCCTTAGTTACAGAGTAGAGAGGGCTTTCACACTGTTCTCGAGGATAAGCTGGAATTCAGTGGCACGAGGACCCTGCCACAGCAGGCCGCGGTGTTACAGAAGGGCGTGGGGAGGTGAGTCGGGAACATTTGGAGGTCACCTGATGGAGGGCCACAGTGTAGTGCAAGGACTTCAGACTTTACCCGTGAGGCCCCGCTCTTCCAGCTCTATTCCTAGCTCTCCTCTGCAGTGTCTTCCAGAAGTGCGTGCACATTGGTGGGGAGGTGGTGAGCACGGGGCTTCCAGAGCAGCTCTGTTACTGTTTTGTAGGTGAGGCTTCCAGAAAATACTCATTAAAAAGGTGAGAGTGACCTGGTGCTAAACAGAGTTTAAATATCATGGTCATAGATGATCGAGGATTCGTGAGGATTCTTAAGTGGGACAATGACATGTTCAGATTTGTTTGTAAGTCCGTGAGAAAGCTGGCAGCACTGTGGCAGGTGGATGGAGGCGGAGGGGGACGCTGCCACAGCCTGAAAGAATTTGTGCAATGTCAGAAAAAGGAACTGCAAAAAAATGGGATTTAGGGAACTTGGCAACTGAGTGAGGAGAAGATGGTATCAGGAGCTGAGGGGGCAAAGGAGCAGTTAAGTTTGGGGGCTGAATGAACTGTGGTCTTGAAATACTCCTTTTGCCTTCTAAGCTGGGCTTTCCAGCTGCAGTTCTGTTCTTTTGTTGTTGTTGCTGCAGTGGCTCTGACCAATCTCGAAGATACTGAGAATGCCAAGAGAGCCTACGCAGAAGCAGTCCACCTGGATAAGTAAGCTGCTCCCTAGGAAATGGTATTTGGGAGGGCTAGAGTCTCCAGAGCCACAAGGTGGCGCCAGATGCTTGCTCTCCATGGCCTGTGCGCACAAGGCCTGTGTGGATGTGATGCTAAGCGTGCAGTGGCTCAGCAGGAACTGACACTGGCGCTTTCTGAGAAAGTGTTTCCAGCCTCAAGGTTAGTAGTCAGGAGGCCAGAGAAAGTCAGCTGGCAGTGGACTTGGACTGCTAATGCAGTCCAAGGACTAGCTGGAATACAAGATGCGACTCTGGGCTTAGTTAAATCTTTGACTCTCTTGGGATTTATTCCACCTTCATCAGCCAGGCAGCAGGGTAGGGGCCCCTTCTTCAACCCACCTTGGTGGTCTCTGCTAAGGGTGGCCCAGTTGGCTCTTGTTTCTTTATGGCTAGCTGTGTATTAGGTAAGAGTTACTGGCTTGATTGGATGGTTAATACAATGGGACTTTACAATAATCATGTTTAGAAATATACTAATAGTACTTTGTTACGTAGTCTTGCTTTAATTCTCACTGTCTTAACGTGAGTTGGTGTGGTGCAGGTAATTAAGTACCTGCTTTGCTTGTTGGGCAGTTATTCCTTGATTTTTCCCCACAAGTCCACACAGCATGGGTGTTTCTACCTTGCTGCACAATGGAAAAATCTTATAATCAGTTTTGTTTTGTTCTTGTGTCACGAGGATCTCCAAATGACCATTTGTTGCAAACCCTAAGCTCCATCGAGTTCCTTTCTGGTTGCCACAGGTGTAACCCTTTAGTGAACCTCAACTACGCTGTGCTGCTGTACAACCAGGGCAGGAAGAGGGACGCCCTGGCCCAGTATCAGGAGATGGAGAAGAAAGTCAGCCTACTCAAGGACAGCAGCTCTCTGGAATTTGACTCTGAGGTAGGTCTTTTCTTAGCTCCCAGGAGTTATAAGTAAGCTGTCAGGAAACTTTTGATTCAAGCCCAAATAACCCAAATATAACCTGTTCTAAACTCATGCTTGTTTTGTCTTTGGTGTTCCTGGCAGCAAGAATTATTCGACTAGTAACAGCCAAAGAAAACCTTCCCTGGAGGAAAATAGTAAGGGGAAATCCAAGCTTACTGAATCTGTTATTGATAAAACAACTCATCTGCGTTGAGGCCTATGTCTTATTGCAGCTTCCTCCACTTATCCTGGAGGAAAGGCGGGCTTGAGCCCAATAACACACCAAACTTGAATCGTTGTTTGAGATCCTAGATGCACTTCCTTGCCATCCACTAAGGGCAGCCTGTGTTTTCTGCTGTTTGAGAAAGATTTCCTTGCAATAAGTACTTCTTCCTTCAAATGCTAGTACCAGTAGTCAGATGTATTTTGACTGAAAACCCCCTGGGAGGAAGGTCTAGGAAGAGGTGGGTGGGCTTGTCTCTGCTGCTCACACCTGGATTCTTTATTTCTTCCCATGTGGGTACAAGATGGTGGAGGTGGCTCAGAAGCTGGGAGCTGCTCTCCACGTTGGGGAGACCCTGGTTTGGACTAAACCAGCTAAAGATCCCAGATCACAGCACCGGACCGCCTCAACCAGCAAAGCCGCCTGTTTCCAGCAGCCCCTGGGCTCCAATCAGGCCCTAGGACAGGCCATGTCTTCAGCGGCTGCATACAGGAAGCTCCCCTCAGGTAGGAGGTCACACAGCAACATGACGATCTCTTGGGTACAGCCACGTGTGCCAGCAGCGGTTACTGATTTGGGTGAAGCCTGCACTTTTCAGACTCAGAGCATGTCCAGTGTAATGTTGCCTCCAAGGGGGGAAAGCCACAGGGTGGCCAAACTGGCTCTTCTCTAAGGCAAGCTGTGTATTAGCTAATACTTACTGGCTCAGTTGGATGGTTCATACACTGAAACTTTATAATTTTCAAGTTTAGAGATAGATATCAGTATTTTTAGTTATGTAGTCTTGCCTTAATCCTCATTGACCTACTGTCAATTGGCATGGTGCAGGTAATTAAAGATTTCTGTTAGTGAGTCACTGAAGGCAAACTCAACTGTTGCTTTATTTCTTTAGTTAGGGCATAACTTCACCGCTGCAAAGATATACTGCAGTCCCACTGGTCCCAGAATATATGGGGTTTCTTGAAATTTAACAGTGAAAATAATGATTTATTTTGGAATTGTGGAACCGAGAACTCTAGCCACTGTCCCCTCCTCTGGAGCCGGCGCCCCCTATGGAAGCACATCCATCCAGTGAAGCACCAGCACCAATGAGAAAAAGGAGTAGGATGACCCCAGAGTAAGGGTTTTTCTGGTGAGGATATACCGAATTAAGAAAGGTCACAAGACACAAATAGAGTGGAGGCCAGCACATTTCTTGGGCACCACAGAGCACAGGACAGGGTATGTAGTGATTGTCATGAGGAGTCTGAAGCCTCGACAGCCCCCCAGTGGCCCAGGAAGTAAAGAGAAACCATCCCAGACAGGTCCTTTAAGAATTGAGAGCAAGGCTCATGGCTCTCCACACGTGGCTTCACGAGTCAGCAGACTACCTGATGCTCTTTGCTTTTGAAAGGACTTTTACCTCCTGGCTGACTGACCCCTTCCTTTGTTGGAGGAAAGTTGGAGACAGAGCTTTGCTCAGTAGCCTCGTCATGATGAAGCCTTGGCTTAGCTGAGGTGGCCCTCAGGCTGTGGGGCATGTCAGTCCCCAAGACAAACACAAGTCTTGCACTTACAATTTAGCTCTATTAGTCCTAATTTTTTAAAAAAGTGATGAAAAAAAGCTCTGTAAATTGAAGCCTAGCTTACTGAGTATCCTAGTTGTACTTGTCCAAGGGAATCCAGAACAAGTCCCTGTATCTTGTTCTTGAGAGAGATCAGAGGATAGAGCCAGAACATGGCAGGATGACAAGAAGTGGAAGAGAAGGGCTGCTCTGGTATCGTTACCAAGGATGAAAATAAAAGGAAGAACTTAACCGAGAAATTTATTTTTTATTTTTTGCTTTTAGAGAGAGGGGAAAGGAGGGAGAAAGAAGAGAGAAACATCGATGTGTGAGACAAACATTGATTGGTTGCCTCCTGCACATGCTGTGACCAAGGACTGAACCCACAACCCAAGCATGTGTCCTGACCAGGAATCAAACTGGCAGCCTTTTGCTTTGTGGGATGAAGCCCAGCCAACTGAGCCATACCAGTCAGGGCTTAACCAAGGAATTCTAAGACCATCAATGGTACCACTGATGAAATGCTATCAACGTACTATCTATGTCCTTTTTAGAATAAAGATTATGTATCATCATCCCTTTTTGGAGAGTTGTTATTCAGGTATAAAAATAAGATCACAATAAAAACTTTTTAAAAGAAGCTATGATCATAGTTTTCCCTTACCTATTTTGAAACAGAGTTTGAAACTGGAGAAGGAATCTCATGCCAAGTTCCTGCTTGGTGCCAGCCCAGCCTCTGCTGCAACCCTGAAGGGTGGTATGTCAGCAATTTGCTTCAGGGCCAGTCCCCACTTTGTACTTGAAGTGCCCTTTAATCATAATTTGAAGGTGGACTGAGCTATTATCAAACTATGTTTGGAGTTCTTTATATTATGACTGAGTCTGTTTTAACATCGAATAGCAGCTATCTGAGCAGAAAACTCGGTAGTTCTCATGTCAGAAATAAATAGTAAGGTGACAGAAGTGATGCCCTTATCCATGCAGCTGGTATGTGGCAGAACTGGGATTTGTACCCTGAGCACCAAGAAAACTCACCTCTCTATTATTGTGGCGTCTGGTGTGCTTGTGAATGAAAAGGTCTTGGTGATATTTAGGGTATAAAATAAGACAGATGGAGAGGAAGGAGGTGTCAGAGAGATTTAGGGGGTAAAATCAGCACAAACCGGGGCCTGACTGAGACTGGCAGGTAAGAACAGACTAGGATGGATACCCACTGCTGGGGAGAGTTCATACAATGTGGTATGAGCACAATGTGGTAATCACGTGGTACAAAACTAGTTCTGATTAGTCTGTGCAGAGTTAAGAATGCATACTATAACCCCTAGAGCAACCATTAAAAAGATGCAAATAAATGTAACTAAAAAGATACTAAATTAAAAAGAAATTCTAAAAAATACTCAACTAGCACCCTCCTCCCCTAAAAGGACAGGAAAAAAGAATGAAGGAAAAAGAAAAAGATGGAAAAAAAAGGAAATAGCAAATATTAAATGTAAATTCAATCATATCAATAATTACATAAAATGTAACCAACCTAAAAAATGTAATTGGACTAAACATTCCAATTACAAAGCAGATAAAGAATTAAAAAAAATAGACTTCCGCCAAGATGGAGGCATAGGTGGATGTGCCGTGCCTTCTCACACAACCAAGATTAGAGAAAACTAAATATTAGCAACAGAAAACACAGCCAGAACACGGAAAATTGAACTTTTCGGAAGTCCGTTAACAACAAATTCTTCAGCCTGACCGGTAAGGGGCGAAACCAGCAGCTGGCGGAGCAGGGTTGCACAGGAGGACTCGGCCAGACACACTCAGGCCCGTGGAATCCAGACGCAGGGTCAGACCTAGTGAGCGACCCAGCGAGCAACCAGGCGAGCGACCTCGGGGGGAGACAGCCGGGCCCGGGGCTGCGTGTTGACTGAGGTCGCGCATTTGTGCGAGGGTGGACAGGCGAGGAAGTGGGCGGTTGGACCGGGCCGGCAGGTCCCCACGGCAAGTGGCAGTGGAGGGCGCCGCCATTTCCCTGCTCTGACCCCACCTCCACATACAGCGTCATAACCCAGCGACTCTGAGTGGCCCGGCCCAGGTGAACCACCTAAGGCACTGCTCCTCCGCACCCAGCTGTGAGAAGCGGCAGAGGGGGTCGCCATTTCCCCGCTCTGGCCACGCCCTCACATACAGCGTCACAACCCAGCGACCTGGGAATCCAAGCCACCGCTTCTCACACTTAAAGGGCCCGAACAGACCAAGAATGGCGCAGGAGGATCTCAGAGCCCCAGAAATAAATCTAAGCGATGAAGAAATAGCAAAACTCACAGACGCACAGTTTAAAAAATTGGTGATCAGGATCCTCACAGAACTGGTTGATTATACGGACAAATTAGACAAATATATGAAGGCGAAACTCATTGAAATGAATGGAATTGCACAGGACACCAATAGCAATGAAAAGGAAACTGGGACTCAAATCAATGGAGTGGACCAGAAGAAAGCAAATAATGGCCAAACAGAAAAGAGTCAAGAAGCAAGAATTCAAAGAAATGAGGAGAGTCTTAGGAACCTCCAGGACATCTTTAAACGCTCCAACATCCGAATTATAGGGGTACCAGAAGGGGGAAAGGCACAGCCACCAGTGGAAAACTTATTTGAACAAATAATAAAGGAGAATTTCCCCAATCTGGCAAAGGAAATAGACTTCCAGGAAATCCAGGAAGCTCAGAGAGTACCAAAGAAGTTGGACCCAAGAAGGAACACACCAAGGCACATCGTAATTACATTAGCCAAGATTAAAATGAAGGAGAGAATCCTAGAAGCAGCAAGAGCTAAGGGGACAGTCACCTACAAAGGAGTCCCCATCAGACTGTCAGCGGATTTCTCAAAAGACACCTTACAGGCAAGAAGGGGCTGGAAAGAGGTATTCCAAGTCATGAAATCTAAAGACCTACAACCAAGATTGCTCTATCCAGCAAAACTTTCATTTAGAATGGAAGGACAGATAAGGTGCTTCTCAGATAAGATCAAATTCAAGGAGTTCATCATCACCAAGCCCTTATTATATGAAATGTTAAAGGGACTTATCGAAGAAAAAGAAGTTAAAGAAACATGAACAGTGAAAGGACAACAAACTCACAGTTATTAACAACCACACCTAAAAAGAAAGCAAACTAAAAGGACAGCTAGATCTGGAGTGGAAACATAGAAATGAAGATCTCAAGGAGGGTTAGCAACAGGGGAGTGGGAGGAGGAGAAGAGGGGAGAAGGTACAGAAAATAAGTAGCATAGACAGTAGATATAAAATAGAGGGGGGGCAAGAATAGCATGGGAAATATAGAATCTAAAGGACTTGAGACACATGGTCATAAACTAAAGGGGGGTGATGGTGGGGATGGGGGGTAGGGTGGAGGGGAATAAAGGGGGAATAGAACAACTGTAACAGCATAATCAATAAAAAAAAGTAAATAGTTAAAAAAAAAAAGAATTAAAAAAAATAAAACCTATTTATCTGCCATTGAAAGAAAAGGATGGGAAAAGGTAGACCACGCAAACTACAGGCATAAGGAGTCCCAGAGCGCTGTACTGTCAGCTATAAACTTCAAAACGAGGAGTACACTAGAAATACAGAGTAATTTGCCTGATAGAGAATTCAAAGAAACAGTCAAAAGGACGCACACAAAACAAGAAAGGAATACAGGAACTCAGGGAGAACTTCAACAAGGAGTTAGAAAGTATAAAAAAGAACCAAGCAGTAGACAAAGAATAACCGAAATGAAAAACACCAGAAGGAATCATCAGATTAGGAATCAACACAGAAGAATGGATCAGCAACCTAGACGATAGACTAGTGGACATCACCCAGTCAGAACAGTGAAAAAAACACCCGTAAGGATAGTTTAAGAGATCTCGGGGGCAACAAGAAGCACACAAACATTTGCAAAGTGAATTGAGAGAGAGGAAAAGAAACCTTATTTGATACTTACCTGGCAGGGGAGATACCATGATCACGAAACCTTATTTGAAGAAATGACTGAAAACTTTCCAAACCTGGGAGAGGAAACAGACTTTTACATCCAGGAAGCACAGTTTCCCCCCGCACCCCCCAGAAAAGAACTCGAATACACACCAAGACACACTAATTAAAATGGGGAAAGTTAGATAATTTTCAACACAGCAAAGGAAAACAAGTTACGTGCAAAGTAAAGACCATAAGGCCATCAGCTGATTTCTCAGCAGCAACTTTACAGGCCAAAAGAGAGTGGCAGAACATCTTTTTTCTTTTTTAAATATGGAATCAGACTATTCACTTTATAATGTAGCTTAAGTATATAAAAAACGGCAAACTCTTATCTGAGCAGTCTTTTCTAAGATTTTATTTATCTTTAGAGTGGAAGTGAAGGAGAGAGGGAGAGAAATATCAGTGTATGGTTGCCTCCCGTACATTCCCTATGGGAACTGGCCTGCAACCCAGGCATGTGCCCCGACTGGGAATCGAACTGCGATCCTTTGGTTTGCAGGCCCGCACTCAATCCACTGAGCTATACCAGCCAGGGCTTTTTCTTAAGTTTTAATTTAACATGGTTCTGCATTTCACTCCCAATAAATTACTTATTTTTTTGTTTTTTATTGTTCAAGTACAGTTCCATTTTCACCCCATGACATCCCCCTACCCCACCATTCCCACCTCCCCCCCTTGAACCTACTCCCTTTGCCTTTGTCCATGTCATTTATACATGTTCCTTGACAGCCCTTCTCCTACTTTCCCCCATTAACCCCGTTCCCCTCCCCTCTGGTTACTGTCAGTTTGTTCTTTATTTCAATGTCTCTGGTTATATTTTGCTTGCTCGTTTTGTTGATTAGGTTCCACTTACAGGTGAGATCATATATTTGTCTTTCACCACCTGGTTTCTTTCACGTAGCATAATTCTTTCCAGTTCCATCCATGCTGTCACAAGGGTAGGAGCTCCTTTCTTTCTGCTGCCTAGTATTCCACTGTGTAAATGTACCACAGTTTTTTGATCCACTCATTCAGTGGTGGGCCCTTAGGTTGCTTCCAGCACTTGGCTATTGTAAATGTGCTGCTATGAACAGTGGGGTGCGTAAGGATCTCCTGAATCGGTATCTCAGGATTTTTAGAGCGGAATCCCAGCAGTGGTACTGCTAGCAGGACATCTTTAAAGTGCTGAAAGGAACCTACAACTCGGAATAATTTACCTGGCAAGGTTATCATTCAGAATTGAAGAAGGATAGATATTAAAAGTTTCCCAGACAAGCAAAAACTGAGGGATTTCATCATCATAACATTTCAACATTCACAAGAAATGTTAAGCAGAAAATGTAAGGCCATACCAGAAATAAGAAAATATGAAAAAGGAAAACATCTCACAAGTAAAGCCAATCAATACAGTGAATCAGACATTCTATTTTTTGCCTCAGCTGAAGACATATTTTCATTGTTTTTGGACACAGGAAGGGGGATGGGGAGGGGAGAGAGAGAGAGAAACATTGATACCTTCTTGCACGTTCCCCAACAAGGCACTGAACCCGCAACTGGTATGTACCTTGACCAGGAATCAAACCTGCAGTCTTGGAGTCCATAGGATGATGCTCCAACCAAATGAGCCACACCAGCCAGGAACAAATAAGACATTTGAAAAGCTCCTACCAACCCTGGCTGGTGTGGCTTAATAGCTTAAGCACTGGCCAATGAACCAAGAGGTCACTGGTTTGATTCCCAGTTGGGGCATGTGGCTGGGTTGCAGGCCAGGTCCCCAGTGCCGAGTGTGTGGGAGGCAACCTGACAATGATGTTTCTCTCCCTCTCTTTCTTCTTCCCTTCCCCTCTCTCTAAAAAAAGAACAGACAAAATCTTTAAAAAAGGAATGAATAAAAAGCTCCTACCAATGTTAAAAGACAAAAGTACCAAACCAAATCCAAAGTATAATAAGTAGTTAGGAGACACCCAAAACAAAGATCTAAAATATGATATCAGACATATAAAGTGTGGAGGAGGGAGTAACAATGTAGTCCTCATATAATATATTTGAGCTTATTTGAACTTAAATGCCTATCAGCTTAAAATAGACTGCTACAGGTACAGAACAATACATACAAAACTTATAGTAACCACAAACCAAAAACCTACAAAAGATACATAAACAATAGAGAGCAACCCAAACAAAACACTAAGAAAGGAACAGAAGCAAACTACAAAAACAACCAAAACACAACCAAATAGCAATAAGTATATACTTAGTCATTGCTTTATTTTTTTAATTTTTATTTTTATTGATTTTAAGAGAGAGAAAGAGACCTCAATTTGTTGTTGCACTTATTTATGCATTCACTGGTTGAGTCTTGTAAGTTTCCTGATGGGGAACTGAATCCACAACCTTGGCCAATGGGGGGGGGGGGTGACATTAACAAACTGAGCTGCCTGAACAGGCTCTTTAAAAATTTTTACTTTACTCAATAATTACTTTAGGGTTAAAGGCAGTACAAAGACATGGGCTTACTGAATGGATTGAAAAAACATGACCCGTTTGTATGCTGCTTACAAGAGACTCACTTCAACCTGAGATGTGCAAGACTGAAAATGAAGGAATGGAAAAAGGTATTTCATGCAAACAAATGAAAAGAAAGCTGGGGAGCAAAACTCATATCAGACAAAATATACTTTAAAACAATGTAAAAAAAAAAAGAACACTATATAGTTATAAAGGGGTCCATCTAAGAAGAGGGTATAACTCATAAATATCTATGCACTCAATACAGGAGCACTTAAATATATAAAGCAAATATTAGTGGACATAAAGGCAGAAATTCATAGTAATACAAAAATAAGGAATTTTAGTAACTCACATTGATGGATAGATCATTCAGACAGAAAACTGATAAGGAAATAATGGCCTTAAATGCCACGTAAGACTAGATCGACTTCAAAGACATTTATACAACACTGCATCCCCAAACTGCATAATACTACATTTTTTTTGTCAGGTACACATGGACCATTTTCCAGGATAAATAGCATATTAGGTTATAAAATGTGCTTCAATAAATTCATGAAGATTCAAATCATATCAAGCATTTTTTCTGACCACAAAGGCATGAAACTAGAAATCAACCATAGGAAGAAAACTGTAAATAAGAAATATGTGGAGATTGAACAACATGCTACTAACCAACCATTGGATGAAAGAGGAAATCAAAAGGACATTAAGAACTACCTTGAGACAAATGAAAATGAAAACACAAGTTTTCCAAATTTATGGGTGCAGCCAAGGCAGTTCTGAAGGGGAAGTTCACAGCCATACAGGCCTACCTCAAAAAAGAGAGGGTAAGAAAGAAATGAAAGAAAAGAAAAATTCCAAGTAAACAAATATAACTTTATGCCTAAGGAACTAGAAAAAGAACCAAAAAAACAAAACCCAAAGTAAATAGGAGGAAGGAAATAATTAAGATCAGAGCAGGAATAAACCAAATAGAGATTAAAAACAATACAAAAGTTCAGTGAAACTAAGCTGGTTCCTTGAAAAGATAAACGAAATTGACAAACCTTTAGCAAACTCATCAAGGAAAAAGCCCAAATAAAATCATAAATGAAAAAAGTTATACTGACACCACAGAAATACAAAGGATTACTAAATAATATTATCAACAATTATATGCCAACAAATTCAATAATCTAGAAGAAACTGTTAAATTTCCAGAAGCACATAACCTTCCAAGACTGAACTAGATAGAAACAGAAAATCAAAACAGACTGATTAATAAACAAAGCAACAAACAACAAATGTTGGAGAGGTTGTGGGGAAAAGGGGACCCTAGTTCACTGTTGGTGGGATTGCAAACCGGTTCAACCATTATGGAAAACAGAATAGAATTTTCTCAGAAAAATAAAAATCGACCTGCCTTTTGACCCAGCAATTCCACTGCTAGGATTATATCTTAAGAATCCTAAAACATCAATTTCAAAGAACCTATGCACCACACTGTTCATAGCAGCACAATTTACAATAGCTAAGAGTTGGAAGCAATCTAGGTGCCCATCAGTAAATGAATGGATCAAAAAATTGTGGTACATATACACAATGGAATTCTAAGCAGCAGAGAGAAAGAAGGAGCTACTACCCTTTGCAACAGCATGGATGGAACTGGAAAGCATTATGCTGAGTGAAATAGGCCAGGTGTTGAAAGACAAATACCATATGATCTCACCTTTAACAGGAAGCTAAACAACAAACAAGCAAGCAGAAAAAAAAACCCAAAAAACAAAGACACTGAAATAGAGAACAAGGGGATAGTGACCAGAGGGGAGAAGGAAGAGAAGTTAAGGGGAAAAAGGGGGAGGGATTTGGAGGAACAAATAGGAGGACACAGGGACGAGAACTAAGGGGGGTGGAAATGGGAGGGAGGTGGGGAGCAAGGGGCGGGGGAGGCTGGGATGGGAAAAATAGACAAAAAACTGTACTTGAAAAATAACTAAATAAAATTTAAAAAAAAAATAGAAAACTGTACTTGAAAAATAACTAAATAAAATTTAAAAGATCTCAAGGAGGGTTAGCAACAGGGGAGTGGGAGAAGGAGAAGGGGGGAGAAAGTACAGAAAATAAGTAGCATAGACAGTAGGTAGAAAATAGATAGGGGGGGCAAGAATAGTATGGGAAATATAGAATCTAAAGAACTTGAGACACATGGTCATAAACTAAAGGGGGGGTAATGGTGGGGACGGGGGGGGTAGGGTGGAGGGGAATGAAGGGGGGAATAGAACAACTATAATGGCATAATCAATAAAAATAAATTTTAAAAAAACCCAGACTGATTATTAGCAATGAAATTGAAGTAGAAAAAACAAAACAAAAACAAAAAACTCCCAACACATAAAAGTCAGGGACCAGAAGACTTCACAGGTTAATTCTACCAAACAAAGAATTAATGCCTATCCTTCTTACACTATCTCAAAAAACCAAAGAGAAAAAATACTTCCAAATTCATTCTACAATGTCATTATTACCCTAATACCAAAACTGGACAAAGACATTACATAAAAAGAAAATTATAGGCCAATATTCCTGATGAACATAGATTTAAAAATTCTCAACAAAATATTAGCAAATGCAATTCAACAGCACATTAAAAGGATTATACACCATAACCAAGTGGGATTTCTCCCAGGGATGGGTCCTATCTACAAATCGATTAATATTCATCACATTAACACAATGAAGGAAAAATCATATGATCACCTTAACTGATGCAGAAAAAGCATTTAACAAAATTCAACATACTTTCACGATAAAAATCCTCAACCAAATGGGAATAGAAGGAGCATAACTCAACGTAACAAAGGCCATATATAGCAAATCCATAGCTAATATCATACTGCGCTGAATGGTGGAAATGGATTTTCCTCAAATATCAGGAATAAGACAAGGATGCCTACTATCACCACTATTATTTAACATAGTATTGGAAGTCCTAGCCATAGAAATCAGATAAAAAGAAATAAAAGGCATCCAAATCAAAGAGGAAGAAAACTCTCACTGTTTGCAGATGATGTAATATCATATATAAAAACCCCTAAAGACTCCACCGAAAAACTATTAGAATGAACTCAATAAAGTTACAGGATACAAAGTCAATATACAGAAATCTGCTATGTTTCTATAAACCAACAATAAATCACCAGAAATTAAGGAAATAATCCCATTTACAATTGCATTAAAAAATAAAATACCTAGAAATAAATTTAATCAAAGAGTTGAAAGAACTGTATTCTGAAAACAGACACTGAAGAAAGAGAAAACAAATAAATGGAAGAATATACCTTACTCATAGGTTATAAGGATTAATATTTAAATGTCCTTAGTACCAAAAGTAATTTACAAATCAATGCAATCCCTATTAAAATACCAATGGCATTGTTCTCAGAACGAAAACTAATCCTAAAATTTATATGGAACCACAAAAGACCCTGAATAGCCAAAGAAACCTTGAGAAAGAATAAAATGGGAGGTACCATACTTCCTGATTTGAAGCTAGACTACAAAGCTACAATAATCAGTAGGTACTGGAAAAAAAAAAAGAAAGAGCCAGATACATAGATCAACATAAGAGAAGAGAGAGCCCAGAAACAGATCCTCACTTACACAGTCAATTTACAACAAAGGAGGCAGGGTGTACAATGGGGTAAAAGACAGTTTCTTCAGTAAGTGGTGTTGGGAAAGCTGAACAGATACATGTAAAAAATAAAGAAGCTGGAACACTTCCTTACCCCAAATAGAAACACACTGGTTTAAAGACTTAAATGTAAGACCTGAAATTAGAAGAAAACATGGGCAGTAAACTCTCTGACACAGGTCTTACACCTTTTTGGACGTTTCCTTGGACAAGGGCAACTAAAGAAGAAATAAACAAATGGGACTACATCAAACTAGAGTTGTTGCAAAGCAAAGGAAACCATCAACAACATGAAAAAATAACACTGAAGTGGAGAAGTTATTAACAAATTATATATCTGATAAGAGGTTAATACTAAATATATAAGGAACTCATCAACATAAACACCAACCCTTCCACCCCCACAAACAATACCATTAAAAATGGGCTGATTACCTGCACACACATTTCTCCAAAGACATACAGATGGTCAGTAGACATATGAAAAAATGCTCATCATCACCAATCATTGGGGAAATACAAATCAAAACCGACAGTGAAATGTCACCTGTCAGAATGGCTACCATCAGAAATAACTAGTGCTGGCGAGGATGTGGAGAAAGGGAATCCCCATATGCTGTTGGTAGGATTATAAATTAGTGCAGCCACTATGGAAATCAGTATGGAGATTTCTCAAAAAAAAAATAGAAATAGGAGCTGTCACACCACCCAGCAATTCCACTTCCAGGTATTTATCTGCAGTAACAAAAACACTAACTCAGTAAGACATATGCACCCCTATGTTCACTGCAGCATTATTTACAACAGCGGAGATACAGAAGCAGCCTCGGTGCCCATCAGCAGATGAGCGGGCAAAGGAGATGTGGTTGATAAACACAATGGGACATTACCCAGCAACAAAAAGGACAGAAGTTTGCCATCTGCAGCAACATAGGTGGACCTAGAGGGTATTACAATTAAGTCAGATAAAGTATCTGATTTTATTTGTAAAATCTTAAAAAACCCAAAACAGATGAATAAACAAAACAGAAAACCCCCCATAGAAATAGAGAACAAACTTACAGATGCCAGAGGGGAGCAGGGTGAGAGATGGGTGAACTTTACAATGAAAAAGAAGAGGGAGCCCTGGCTGGTGTGGCTCGGTGGATTGAGTGCGGGCCTGCGAGCCAAGGGATCTCAGTTCGATTCCCAGTCAGGGCACATGCCTGGGTTGCAGGCCAGTTCCTGGCAGGGGATGCATGAGAGGCAACCATACATTGATATTTCTCTCTCTGTCTCCTCCCCTTCTCCTCTAAAGAGAAATACATAAAATCTTTTTTAAAAAAAGAAAGAAAAAGAAGAGGGAGACCCGGTATAGCATCATATATAGTAATCATGGAAGAGATTAGAGACAGCATCACACACGATAAAACAAAATTGAGTTTGTCAGAGACATTGCAAATATTTTTATGATTCAAATAAACTTACTGTTTTCTTATTTTGATCTTATTCCTTGCTTTTAAAACTGATGAAGTGCAGACTTGTCTGAAACATGAACAAAGGGAAAATGAAGACTGATGGGGGAGCTAATGAAATAGAGTCCTATGAATTGTTTTAACTGTGACTTTAATTTTTTAAATATTTTAAATTTACTTTTATCTTTAGAGAGGGGGAGGGGAGTGAGAAAAGAGATGGAGAGAAACATCAATGTGTGGTTGCCCCTCGCACGGCCCCTACTTGAGGCCTGGTCCGCAACCCAGGTATGTGCCCTGACTGGGAATTGAACTTATCGTAAGCTTTAATAAGGACAGTTAGGAGCGAATATCCCCAGGGAGATAAGCTGGGCTCGTGCACTGGAAGACTAAATATTGTTAAGGTGAAAATTCTTCCCAAACTGGTGTACGAGCATAAACTCCTATCATTATCCCAGTAGGTTTTGGGGTAGAAATGAACAAGCCGGTTCTAAGATGTCATGGAAATACAAAAGGACCTGGAACATCCAAGGCAATCTTGAACAAAATTGGACTTATACTAACTACCTCAATTCAAGACTTACCCAGGCCCTGGCTGGGTAGCTCACCTGGTTACAGCGTCCAGTCAGGGCACATGTAAGAATCAACCAATGAATGCATCAATAAGTGGAATAACAAAATCAATGTTTTTCTCTCTCCCCTTTTCTCTCTCTCTAAAAATGGATAAACAAAAAACTTTATAGAAGACTTAAACATAATAGTAATTATGTGGTACTGGCATTAGGATAGACACATAGATCAATAAAATGGAATACACTCCATACTTACAAAGTCATTTGATTTTTGATAAAGGCATCAAAGCAACACAATAGGAAAAGGAAAGTTGTTTTTATTTTTAAACAATGGGGCTGAAACAACTGGATACCTGTGTAGAAAAAAATGAATCTGACCCAAGACTAACACCATGTACAAAATAACTCGAGTGGATTGTAGACCTGAAGGTACAACCTGACATTATAAAGTTCTAGAAGGAAGTATGAGACTGTATGCATGACAAGGAATTTCTTAGGACACAGAAGACCAATAAAACAAAGAAAGTTAGTATCAATCTACAAACTGGGAACACATTCTGGGAGGCTATGGTCACAAGACATGTATGACAAAGGATTTATAGCCATAATATATAATAAACTCCCACGATTCAAGAATAAAAACACTAAGACAACAACATATATAAAATGACCCCATTGAAAAAAAAAGTAGGCAAAAAATTGGGGCACTTCATAAAAACAGCCAAATGGCCAACAAACATGTAAAAATGTGTTCATCATTCATCATCAGGGAAATGCAAAGTAAAACCACAATGAAATACCACTAATGCACCCATCGTATGGCTGAAATTAATCATGGAAAACTCCAAATGTTGGCACAAATGAGAAGCACCTCAACTATCACAGATCAGTGGTAGGAGTAAAATGGTCCAACTACTTTTGAGAAAGGGCCAGTCCATCACTTATCCCAAAATATGTATTTATCCCAGTAATTCCATGCCTATGAATTTTTACACAAGAGAAATGAGAATGTCTACAAAGACTTATTGATACCATTATTCATAAAGGCCCCAGAGTGGAAAACACTGTATTCACGGTAGAATACTAGTTAGCTACAAAAAGCAACAAACTACTTGGAACAACAACAGATTAGTATCACAAACTTTATGCTGAATGAACAGAGCTTTATATAGAGGACCAAATACTTTGATTCCATTTCTATGAAGTTCCAAAACAGAACTAATTTATGGTGAAAAAGTAAATAATGCATTTCTTTGGGGGTTAGGAGTGGGGCTAGGGATAACTTGAAAGTGGCAAAAGGTGACAGAAATATTATCTGACAGGCATTTGGGTTAGATAGGTACATGCACTTTTCAAAACTTAGCAAATGGTGGCCCTGGCTGGTGTGGCTCAGTGGATTGAGTGCTGGCCTGCAAACCAGAGGTCACTGGTTCGAATCCCAGTCAGGGCGCATGCCCAGGTTGCAGGCCAGGTCCCTGGGGGACATATGTGAAAGGCAGCTAAATGATGTTTCTCTTATACATTGGTGTTTCTCTCCCTTTCTCTCTCTAAAAAAATAATAAAATCTTAAAAAAAAAAAACTTAGCAAATGGTACTTAAAATGTATGTTGTTTCACTGTCATAAAAATTTTTGCCTGAAAAAAGACCAAAAAAAATAAAGTGAAATTATCATTGTGGCAGCCTTTCAATAATTTAAAGTACTTCTGGAGTTCTAGGGAATTCCCTGTTCTGTTTAATAATAGTAAATGACAGTGATCAAACTTTAGTTATGTGTCATGTGCCATGGTAATTATTTTGCACTTCGTTCTCCTTCAGTCATCAAGAACACTATGAGGGTAGGGACCACTATTCACCCGTTTTACAGATGAGGAAAGTGAAGCTCAGTAAGGCGAACGGCTCCAATGTCATACAATATTTAGCATCTCAAAACCCTGCACAGAATTTGGATTTCTACTGATGAACAATTACCCTCGCCCCCACTCAACTTGACAGAGAAACTGCAAACTGAATCTGTGTAACAAGACTTTACTGATTTTTCTCATCTCCTGAAAATGTTTTTTTGTGTTGCAGCTTCTCCCCCACCCCTGCCCCACTCAGTGTTAAGTGAACTTCAAGAGAACAGAAGTGTTAGAACATTTTTAGGAAGGCTCAGTTTTCAGCAGCTATTCTTCCTAGTCCAGTGAATTTTCAAACTTTTCTTCACATCAAATCATACGTGAAAACTTTTGTAAAACGTAGTTCAAAGCAAAGAGCCGAGGGGCTGGACACCCTGCCTTTCCCACTCACTTCTGCAAGGGCCACCCCAGGTGACGGTCACTCTCGTACACACGCGCTCACGCAGGCAGAGATGAGGTTCTACTACACAACATTCGTAACAGCCTGTACGGGACATTTTGATACTTTCTGTGATAACCACCAAACTGACTTAGCAACTATTAAAAGTTCAAAACCCATCTTTTGAAAAACACTGCTCTACGGGTGTGCTGACTATACTCGCTTGATTAGTCTTTACTTATATCATCAGTGAAAACTGGAGAACTTGCTGGAAATGTACTGATTTTGGGGCCTGAGCAGACACAACCTAGAGGCCACCTGGGAACAAGGTCCCACGGAGAACACTGCAGGCCTCTCCAAGTGTTCTCAGGTTTGGAACATAAATGATGGCTTGTCCCAGTTCTTCTTGGGATTATAAAAACCTCATTTAATTCTAATAAAAATAGGCTAGAATGTTGGTATTTAATGATTTTTAATTGAGGTTGGGGGCAGATCCTGAGGTAGCAGCCAGAGATTTCTTTTAAAAAACTTTTGAATTTCAAGCTGCATAGGTTCTCTAGGCTTAAATGATTTAAAAAAATTGCTTTTGATACACAGAGGGGAACAATGGTGTGAGGCAGGGACACCAACTGCAACCCAGCTGGGACTGCTCTTGCAGCCCAGGTGTGTGCTCTGACCTGGAATTGAGTCAGTGACCTTTTGGTTTGTGGGATGATGGCCAACCAATTGAGCCACACTGGCCAGGGCTAGATTTAAGTTTTCTTTGAAGGAGTAATCAAGCCATTTCTTCTTACCCAAAGTAGGAGAGGAGCGGCCATAAATGAAGAACTTGAGCTACAGATGAGATTCCAGAAGCTGTTGCTGTGAGCTGGGTGCGAAACCACTGCCCTGCCACCAGCTGCCAAGACCACTCTTTGAACAAACCCAGAAGGCTCACTATCCTTTCCAACTGCTGTTTCATGCTGGATTAGCTACTTGATACTAGTATCTTCTTTCACTTTAAAACACAGAGGACAGACCTGTAGTTCAGGCTCAGGGTGAGGGATTGTCTAGCCAGTGACGGGGAAGGCAAGATGATAAAACACCTCTCAAGAGCAGAGTAACACAGAACTCACGAGTCAATGCTGGAATTACTTCTACTGTATCTGGCTCCACAGTGGTGGTGGGAACAAAATCAACTGCAAACAGACTTAGGATTCCTGAAATGTAATTGTTTTTAATATATTTAAAAGCACATAGAAGTCTCCTTGATTTATAAAAAATAAATACATAACATGAGCAATATCTTCATGATCCTGGGGCTCTTATGAGGTCAAACTCTGTAATGGATGTGACGTGTCCACGTAAAACACACACAGCCAGTCACACGCACAGAGGCACATTCCAGTTGTAAAGGCAGATTCCTCCACAGACCAGCACGAACAAAGAGCAGCCTTCTGCCGGAGAAAGTATGTCCGGAACTGGGCAATGGGGCTGGGCAGGCACGGTAGTCTCTGAGGAGCTGGCACACAATCTGGGAGTCAGGGCAGGAGGGCACAGCCCTTCAGCTCACAGGGCCGCCCTGCAGGTCAGCCAGGCTTCTAAACCCATGCAGAATGGCTGATTCCCTCACTGGGCCCAGGCTCCCACCTCACTGCAACCATGAAGCACGGGGGGAAGGATTTTGTCCTTACTTGTGGCTCTGTCTTACGTTTGAGACAAGACTGAGAAGATACACTCAGTGTTTTCCTTACAGCACTGAATGGAACTCATGACCCTGACCACAAGCACGGAGTGGACAGAGAACTGGAGAAACTCACACTGGCCTTCACTAGACATGGTGAGCGAGCATGCATTCCTGAAGGGGGCGGAGGGAGGGGCTTTTTCCAGCTGGCATGCACTCCAGGGTGAAGAAGTTTGGCCTAAAATACTTGAGAATGCTGCATAAACTGGGGATATGGGAATCAGGTTTTTAGCCCTGTAACACACAACATAAAAATCCATAATCCAGTTTCATTAGTAGATAAATTTTGATTAAAACCTGAAATGTTTTTGTGTAATTGTCAACAGGCTGGAATGTATCTGATATAGTTTAATCTGCTGTTGTGTCTTTGGCTGTCTTTGATTTAAATCTAGAAACTGTTCTGATGCCTTGATCCTATTTTCCAAACCACTTAATTCCTGTATTCTTAAATTCGCTAATTCTCCTTTGGAAAAATTATTCACAATAATCTTCCTAATAGTGAAGGTGCATTTCTGAGTAGAAGAGACCTTCAGCTGAAATGGCGTCTCCGA